GACGTCTTAAAAGTTATATCTATATTTCTTCCATATTTCATAAGTGAAATCGAAATCGAAGCAAAGGAGAGATGACATTCAGTGATGACATATTTGACTAATAAAATTGTTTGCGGTCTACATGAATGTCGAATTTTTAATTTGCGTCAACGATATCGCTTATTAAATATACATTTCGAAGAAGTGATTACTACAAATTCTTTTCGCGAATCCTTGATCGAAAATCTTGAAGATTTCGCTTAAAATAGCCATGTTTACCGTGAGCAGTTGTCATAAAATATCCTAAACCACGAATAAGTAGTAATCCTCGATCTTGTAGTCGAAGACACGCGAGTGTCGAGAAAAAGAAGGAGACACCGCTAATCGTAAGAATTCAAAAACAATATTATCATCTTCATCGTCGTCCTCTTTTTTTCTCTGGCATAAGAAGAAGGCATATGTTTATGCCACTGACACGGTGGTGCCGATGGCGAATTAAAGTGAAGAGGGGAATCGCGAGGACGCGAAAAGTGCGAGAGTGAGGGACGGACGAGAGGCAAGGCCGTTCTTTGACCCGAAACGTGGTCAGCTCGGCGCCAATTTTTCGGGAGGAACCGGTCTTACACGGCCCTCTGGAATTTTGGCCGGCACACACCATTGCGGTTGCCGGGCTGGTTTCGCCGAAAAAAACCGAGGGCGACATGTTAAATATCATTGTAGCGGAGCCACACACACACACACACACACCTGTGCCTCTCTTCGCTGATGTGACGTCGCGAGCCCCTAGCGCGAACGATTAATATCGGAGAGAGCTTCACTTCGTGTTCGGTGGAACCTCGTCAATCAACGGTAATCGAGGATCACGTAGAAAACAAGAAGAGAGGTCAGCGCGCGCTGATATTTTCGTGTCGCGAAGAAGGCTAATTAATTAATTTTTTTTTTTTTTTTTTTTTTTTTTTTAATAAATCTCTGCACATCACGGGATATTCCCAGGTTGATTTACGATATTTTAAATTAGCCGAGTACAAAATATTTGCAGACAAGTCTGCACTATTAAGCGAGATTCGTCATCCATCACTGTAATAAATTGCATTAATACACATTACGATATATGTATTTATTTGACAAGTATAGCATCGTATGGATATATATTTATATATATTGTATATTTATAATCTTATTTCAAGAAAATAAGTGTTCTTGACAATGCTTTACCTCTTACGATTTCGCCTAAGTATGAATCACGCGTCGCTCGCACATCCGCTTGCTTATTAAAATAAGTATATTGACGATTAAAGTAAAATAACATGCGACCTACATTAGCCCGATTCCAGATTGTGGTGTGAAGAAATATTTACCTACGGGGCCTCTCTCTCTTTCTTTCTCTCCTCTCCGGTTTGCTCTTCGTCGCGACCTGAATTCAGTATCTACCGGCTGCAACAATTTTTACCTTAATGCTCCTGACGGTACAGTTTTTGCTTCGGGAAGCGTTCGACATTCATTGTCGGCACTTATTATCGCGACGATTAGCTTTGATTTAATCTCCAGGCAACTACCTCATTTATTCTTTGTGCAACATCTTGTGCTCATATAAAGTATAAATTACGCGCCGCATTTTCATGCATATTAACACATATATCGCGTTCTTCTTCCCTCGACCGGAGTAATGCAGACTCTTGCAAATTGCAGAAGAAAAACCACGTCGGGAAATCGTCTCCTCATCTTTGCATCTCTCTTTGTCTCTTTACGCGATCCGCATCTTCTCTTTCGCTCGTCCCTTCTTGCATACGAGACGATGCACACGTGCACTCGTAGAAATACACGATGCACCTGTACTCTCGCCACACCTGTGCAAGAGAAGCTCATTGATCTTCTCTCTTCTCGAGTTTGTGCCTTTTCCATCGCATTAGTATTACTTGACCCCGTGATCGTGATTATGTTATTGATATTTAAATAATATTTGAAAATAAATTGTATATATGTATACTACAGCTAATATAATTTGCAATTAATTTAATCGCGTATCACGGTTTTATTTATTATTAATTTATTAATAAGATTATTTGAAGCTGTACTGGCATCATTTTGTCTCTGAAATAAGATATTGTGTTATTATCTCATTCGTATAATTTGTAGCCGCATATTAACTGTTTAACGACAGTTATTGATTATGACGAGAATTGTTTCGTTTGAATATAATGTTTTATTTGCAGCATCTACCGGAAGCCACACATTAATTTTTTATCTATACCTCTTTGTCTTATTGTGAAAACACCGATTAATGTTAACTATATGTGTGGTTTTGTAAAAACGCGCGTTAAATAACTGTCACGGGATAATTATATCTTCTGCCGCAACAAGATGTGATTATGAAAAGCGCGAAATGACGCTCGTATGGAGAATTGCTGATTTGAAAACCAGATTTTGCGGCGTCAAACAATGAGGTTACAATCATTTCACATCACACAAATCGTGTGGTCGATATATATTATTTTCAGAATGCGCTATCCCTGCGACAGAAAATATTTTTACAGAGATAGAAAAAAGAATTAACTCAAAAAAATGCTGAAATAACTTCGCAATTTGATAGTAATTGATATGTTACGTAAAACCGTTAAGATTGATTTAACATTAAAATACGACGTTTACATACTTATTCATTTTTTTATTGTCATCTTTGTTAAGTGAAACCTCCTTCACAATGTCCATGAATAATATCAATTGGAGATAGAATTAATCACAATATATACATGTTGTTTACTTCACTTCACTCGTTCACTTGATCTTAGAACGAGTATTTGCGAATCCATCGATATGCAATTCGCAAATGGAAACCGTGAATACAAGTGGTCTGTGTACAGATTACTCTTCATTGTCCTTTTTATCTCTTATCTTTGGAATATTCCTTCTCTTTGTAAATTACACCCCTCGAGATAATAGCAATTCTTTAGTTACACTTCAGTGTCTTTTCTTCAACATTTATCTAACATTATCCATCTTCCAATGTGTAACTATGATATGAATATTAAAATGTGACAATTACAAATCAACCTTGATGTCTGATCAATGCGAGAAATATGTCCTCTCTGTATAATGTCCCTTAGCATCGCAGCTAATTGAGAGATTCTTAGTATTTTTTTTTTTAATAATTTCACTAAAATTTATCATTAAAAAATCTAATATTAATATCTTTATAATAATTCTAATCTCCAATTAAGAAAAAATCTTATTTCAGTCTTCATAGATAGTCAAAAGAACTTTTTTATCTACATCAACAAAATTTTTAATTCTTTATAAAGAAGTTGGATAAGATCTGTAAAACTTTAAAACATCGAGAAATATTAACTTTGCATATTTAGTATAATTAAAAAAAATACAATAGCGATTTTAGATTACAAATAATTTTTTATTTTAAGCAATTTTTGCAACGTTTGCCTAATGTTTTACTAAAAGAACAGTTTTTGTAATTATTAAAATAATATATCAATCTTTGCGCATACATTTATTTTTGCTTATATTTCGCGACGTCCTTGGTGCCTTGAAAAGAAATACCTCTTTGTTGATTAAACCTCTATTATTGTGCGCTAAACATTGATGATGATTTAATATTTTTTTTTTGTTACTGATGTGCTTTTAGGGGAATAGAAAAATTTCATTTGTGTTAATGTACACTTTGTTAATGTACACGTGTGCAATATCGAATTGGCAAGCGTAGCGATTACAAATTTCGATCTCGTCGCGAGATCTCCGCCTCGAAAAGAGGCGCGTTATTCAACATCGTGAGTAATGAACAAACTATTCGGTTACGCAAGCGAGGCCTGGTAAACGTGTGCGATCCTTTAGTATCAAGGATTCCGCCGAAGCGCCAAATAAATCGGTTATCCGCGAGCAAGATGACGCGCAGCTGTAGCAGCCTTTTTAGCGTCACGTTCGTGGCAACAAGCCGAATGCCGAGGCCTCTCGAACCCCTATGAACTTGTATTAGGTGTAATCTCCATGCCATTTTTAGCGCCTATGTGTTATTTACAAATCTCGAAATCGTCAAAATAATTCGCGAATATACGCGAACTCAAATCTATCGTATTATTATATCGTGTCTCGAAGTAACAAACGTTTCTATAATATTTACAAATGATACAAAAAGATCATAAATTCTAAGAATATGTAACTTTAAGATAGATGAGTTTGTCGCATGTTATTTAATTAATAATAAAATTTCGAACGGTAAGTTTATACGATATTTGCTGTGAAATTATTATGAACGAGTTGCGTGTTATCATTTTTTAATGCTGATATCAGATTTAAATTATTAGTTACTATTCATAAAAGAACGAAGTTCCGTTCGAAACTCGATCAAAACTGCATATACGTGCGTACTTAATTAACTATGAAAACATTTTTATAAATAGCAAATTGATTGTATATTCTTACACATAGTTTTAAAAGTCACGCAGGTAATTATTTTTTTATTATAATGAAGACTATTAGAATTCTTCATCACGATTATAATTTTGTTATAAATGCAACATGCCATTTTTAGTGCGGATACGTCTTTTATATAATGCTTGTAATATCATAAAATAATGGAACCTTCCAAAATTCGACAAATATATTTATCATATATATAATTAATTTGCTCCAAAAAACATAACAATTGACGTAAGATATTAAATAAATTTAAGGATTGTTATATATATATATATATATATATAATTAATATTTTTATATAAATATTTTTTTTATAATAAAAATAAGGACTTTATTTGACTATATTTCAGTTAAAAATTTGAGAATCTTTATAAAATAATATTAAACAAGTATAAAATGTGTAAAACTGTAAAAATAATCAGAAATCAAATAGTTCGCTTGCTCATTAATACTTTATCATTAATAAAAATGCTACAGTCTAAAAATTATTTTATATAATATTTAAAATTTCTTCCTATTATTTTTATCGTTTAAATGTTCTGCTTTAGATAATTCGAAATTTAACGACGATTTTATTTTGTATTGTAACAAAGTTAAGGTAAAGAAATTTAAAAAAATATTTGTGTGTGTTATAAACATCTCTAAGTAAGCACTTCAGTTTAACGTTTTCTATACTTTCTATTTATTTGCTTGTACAGTGTAGAAATGATTTAGAAGCAAACAACATTTCCTAGCAATCAGAACTAAGGAGAGATAATAAGAGTGACATCGCTATTTATTATAAGAGGAACTAAAAGTAAGAGGCAAATTCTAGAAGAAAAAAGTATGAAAAATTAAATATAATTATATATAATTCACAATATCTTTTTTTACTTTTTTAAAAAATACGGCATATCACATTCGGTCAAATTAGATATGGCTGCCTTTACATTACATTCACCATATAAGTCTTCTAGTCGATCTAGTATAATAGCTAAAATTCTGTGATCGCTTATGTATCAAAAGACAATCGTGTACGTAATTAATTTTAAGTCATATGAAACCTTATTAAATATGTTATCTCATCTTTAATAAATTAAATTATCAGTAAGGAACAAAATTTTAATATTGACAGTTATTTGAGATGACAATAATTCCAATTATAAATAAAATTATAAGAGTATATTTGAAATAAAAATGATAATCACCCAAATGTATAAAAAAATTCTATAAAATATTTTAAATCATAATTATTTGTTTTACAGAAATTGTCTTTATTTTTAATCGTACAGGTAAACTGTGGCAAATAATCTATAAACAAATTCAGACAGAAAAGAAAGAGAAACATACTGTACCAACATAAATTATGGATCCAAAGAACAGTAGTTTGAAAAGCAAAGATGGTAAACATGAATCTCGCCCAAAAAGGACATCATGCAGAATCTGTGGAATGATATTTATTACTTACGATTACATGATACAACACGAACGTCGATGTGTAAGAGTCGATGTGTTGCAGTATTACATTTCGTTTTTAGAAATAATAAAAACAAATTACTAATCTCCATCTGTTTCAATATTAATTTTTCTTCGAAAATTTTTCTTATTTTTGTTACGACTAAATTCCACATTCTATTCGTTTGTGAGATTGCCGAGATTCATGAATATAAACGAACAACTCGTGAGTAAATTGCAATTTACAAAGCAACTAAAAGAAGGTTTAAGAAATTACGAAAGTATTAAGAAATACGGCTTCTGCTAAATAAGCGATGCATCTCTCGAATCAAATTAAATCAATGATGATGACCGACAGCAGCTTCTTCAATTTTTTTCTCGTGTCTCTTTTTTATTTTTTTTTGTTTGTAAAGTCCGATATTAATTTTTTTCAATATGATGACAGTTGTACGATAATTGATAATTTCGATCAATATTGTATGTGAGACGCACTGATCTTTATTGTATAACATTGGAAGGCGTATTTAACAGGACAAATCGTCTGATTTTTAATTTGTAACACGTTTGTCCTGTTAAATACGCCATCCAGTATTATATAGAGATCAGCAATAAGACGAATTAATATGAATTATTATATATAAATGCGAGCATATACATTAACACAAATTTCATAAAACATAAATTTGATAAAATTAAACATAAATTAAACATAAAATTCATAAAATTTATATAATTTGAATGCGTATACATTAAGCGCAAATTTTATTAAATTTTTATATACATATAAATGCGTACATATACATTAAATGCAAATTTCTATTTTTTCTTCTCTTCTCTCTCTCTCTCTCTCTCTCTCTCTCTCTCTCTCTTATTTCTTTCTTCCGTTTTTACTCTTTTTCTTTTTCTCTCGTTTATATTTATGAATCTCGACAATCTCACAAACGAATAGAATGTAGAATTTAATCTTAACAAAAATAAGAAAAATTTTTGTTAATATTGAAACAAATGGAGATTATTAATTTCTTTTATTATTTCTAAAAACGAAATCATATAATACTGTAACTCGTGCGATGAGATAAACTCGTGAACAAAATTGTATTTTAATTGCACTTCATTAGTCACAAATAACTTATTAATATTTTCTTGAATAATTATTTCATAACTTACTAATTTACATCTAACTACTTTACATCTTAAATTTATGACTCAAAAATATAAAATTAGCTAAAAATATTTCTTTATATATATTTTTTCATGTATTTTTAATTTTTTTTCTTTTGTAACAATTAGGTAAACTTATCAGAGGGACCACGGATAATAATTGATTAATTATCAACTTGAAGAGTCAATTAACAAGATACAAATATTTTTTTTTAAATTCAAGGATATTAGAGCTAATTATTCGTTTTTTTCTCATGGTTTCTGTAAAGATTTGTTTATATTATAGCGCAACACAAAATGAACGTGTTTGAATGTGAATAATGTGTCTTGTACATTTCTTCCTAAAGCTGACAATCAAATAGCCGTATTTCCATTTCTAATTGTATTCTCGTGGCGAAAGATGCTATTTGTTAGCTTCATCGTTATTAGTATCCCATACGTAATTACGTAGACCGAACTAAAGGCATATATCTGTGTACATATGAAAAGACTTTACATGTATTTAAGCAATCTCAGTGTAATTCCACGGTAAGAAAGAATATTTCGCAAGTCTGGTAGTTACGGACGACAGTCAATACGATACATTATACGGGTGCCAGGTTAAACCGTTAAGAATAACAATGAATTGCGTGAAAAAAAGAAAAATAAAGTTAACAAATTGTCATATTTTGAAATTTTTATACAATCTTCTATTTTCAGTAGTATTCAAAATGACTGTTTACTGTAAAATTGTTCATATTGTTGAGTGTAAATTATTAAGTATATATATTTTGATATTTTTATCGATTATTTACATTAAAAGAATTATTAAAGAGAGAATTATTTACATTTTAGAAATAAAATATTTTGCGGAAGCAAATATATTCATTATACAAGTATGTGAAAAAAATTTGAAAAACAATCCTAACTGAACGCAAAATATGCCTTGAATTTTTTTATTACGTATAATTAAAAATAAATTCTTTGCTCGCGAAAGATTCTGATGACAAGCTGTATCAATACAGCTGTGATTGCCGATCCTAAGATACACATAGCATCTCTGATCTTTGAACATTATGTTAAAATAGAAAATTACGTGTTTATATACCATGTATGTTTTGACAGCAACATTGATCAAAGTACGAACGTAATAGCAAATACAGTATATGGAGTATAAATAAGAAAATATAATACACGATATTACTAAATAATGGCTTAGGAAAATGCGGTATTATATTGCAATTGCAAAAAAGCAGATAAAGGAATGATCAAAATTCTTTTTATTCATATGGTATAAATTAACTTTGTAACGGGTATTCAGCGGGAATGTCTCGACGATTGTTAAAGACTTATGCGTCACAGTCTACTTAGGCTTAGACCTCGGTAAAGTGAACAGTCTTATTCTTTAGTCGTCTTCTTCCTCGCCTTCTCGTTGCCGCTTTTATAATGATATTCCACTTTGTTAACGTTGGGCGCAAAGTCGGTAGCCATGATCCGTTTCCACGCACCGATGCATCCGACTTTGCCTCCTCTATTGTCGTCGTCGTTGTTTTATTCTGAAAATCTAAGAACCGGCTACGGGAAGATGACGATCTTCTTAACGCGATGCGTCATGAGCCGTTATTTTTTTATAGAAACTGAAACACAATAAAATGTCACAATAAATTATAAAATAAATGTGTGCAAAATAATCTCGCGATAATTTAAAACGCATTAGCTCTAGAGATCTCGAGATTCGGAAGATCACTGCGAATAATTGACCTGCTTTGCAAAAAGCTACAAAGCCATATGGCGCGAAAATTACATATGCAAATGTAATATTTCTAAAATATATATAAAATCTTATCTGGTATTTGAATGATATCCGGAGAAATAAAGTCTAAGATAATGAAGCGGAATTTGCATGCGTAATAAACACAGGAAACGTTCGGATTGCATATTCAAATTGGAATTGAAATATAGAGATGTGCGAGATATAAGTCACTTTAACGCAGTGATATAAGAATATGTTAATGAATTTTGCTGCAATAATTGCTTCATAATTCTTATTAGGACAAAGGTTCTTGACTTAAATAGATACATGATTTCCCATGAAAAGCTGATGAAATCATAAATTTAGAATCGTAATACATTTTTATATAACTTTACGCATGTTAAGCAATCACGCAATTCTTTAATTATATATCAATTATATAGGTATCAATTAGAAAAAATATTTTTATAATAAAAAATAAGGACTTTATTCAAATATATATTGCAGTTAAAAGTTCGAGAATCTTAGTAATATTAAACAAAGACAAAATGTGTAAAACTATAAAAAATAACTGTATCAATCAAAAATCAAATAGTTTGCTTGCTCATTAATACTTTATCATTAATAAAAATGCTACAGCCTAAAAATTATTTTATATAATATTTAAAAATTTCTTCTTATTATTTTTATCGTTTAAATGTTCTGCTTTAGATAATTCGAAATTTAACGATTTCACAGATTCTGAAAATATTTTGTTTATTGTATAACAAGGTTAAAACAAAGAAATTTTAAAAATATTTGTGTGTGTTATAAACATCTCTAAGTAAGCACTTCAGTTTAATGTTTTCTATACTTTCTATTTATTTGCTTGTACAGTGTAGAAATGATTTAGAAGCAAACAACAATTCCTAGCAATCAGAACTAAGGAGAGATAATAAGAGTGCATGACATCGCTATTTATTATAAGTGGAATTAAATGTAAGAAACAAATTCTAGAAGAAAAAAGTAAGAAAAAATTAAATATAATTATATATAATTCACAATATCTTTTTTTACTTTTTTAAAAAAATACGGCATATCACATTCGGTCAAATTAGATATGGCTGTCTTTATATTACATTCACCATATAAGTCTTCTAGTCGATCTAGTATAATAGCTAAAATTCTGTGATCGCTTATGTATCAAAAGACAATCGTGTACGTAATTAATTTTAAGTCATATGAAACCTTATTAAATATGTTATCTCATCTTTAATAAATTAAATTATCAGTAAGGAACAAAATTTTAATATTGACAGCTATTTGAGATGACAATAATTCCAATTATAAATAAAATTATAAGAGTATATTTGAAATAAAAATGATAATCACCCAAATGTATAAAAAAATTCTATAAAATATTTTAAATCATAATTATTTGTTTTACAGAAATTGTCTTTATTTTTAATCGTACAGGTAAACTGTGGCAAATAATCAATAAACAAATTCAGACAGAAAAGAAAGAGAAACATACTGTACCAACATAAATTATGGATCCAAAGAACAGTAGTTCGAAAAGTAAAGATGGTGCTGAAGATAATTCTCTCGAAAAACATTCATTTCTATGCAGATACTGTTCAAAGGCATTTGATTCTCTCCCTGACCTCTCACAACATTTAGACGAACATCATACATCACAGTGGCATAAAATTCGTGGCAAGAAAGACACAGCTTCCTCTGATAAATAAACGATGCATCTCTCGAATTAAATTAAATCAATGATGATTACCGACAGCGACTTCTTTAATTCTTTTTTCGCGTTTCTTTTTTTATTCTTTTTTTTTGTTTGTAAAGTATTTATCCGATATTAATTTTTTTTTAATATGATAACAATTGTACGATAGTTGAAAATTGCGATGGATATTGGATATGAGACGCGCTGATCTTTATATAACATTGGATAACGTATTTAACAGGACAACCGTGTTACGAATTAAAAATCGAACAGCCATCTTTGATAAAGTAAAATATGTTAAAATATTAAGTAATATATATACAATTTATATTTCAGTTCAAGTAAATAACATTCCAATGTTCGAAACTTATGCTAGGATGTTAATTTCACACATTAAGAGTATGCACTCTTTAATGATAAAGGAATGTTATTTACTTGAACTGAAATATAAATTGTATATATATTACTTAATATTTTAACATATTTTACTTTATCAAAGATGGCTGTCCGATTTTTAATTCGTAACACGTATGCATTTTACTGTATATCAAAGATGATTGCCGAGTCGTCTAAGTATAACATACTTTTGTTCACTTTTTTGATAGCATACGCTATCCAGTGTTATATAGAGATCAGCAATGAGATAATTAATATGAATTACTATATATATAGTAAATGCGAGCATATACATTAAACACAAATTTCCTTAAAATATACATTTAAATGAGTATACATTAAATGCAAATTTTTCTAAAATTTTATTTTTTCTTCTTTTCCCTCTTATTTCTTTCTTCCTCTTTCACTTTCTTTTTCTTTCTCTCGATTATATTTATGAATCTCGGTAGTCTCACAAACGAATAAAATGTAGAATTTAGTCTTAACAAAAATAAGACAAATTTTCGGCTCTATCAATATATCTGTGATTGCCGATCATAAGATACACATACGCATCTCTGATCTTAGAACATTATGTTAATTAAAATATAGATAGCGCAAGATATAAGTCAGTTTAACACTGTGATATAAGAATGAAATGTTAATGAATTTTGCTGTAATAATTGCTTCATAATTCTTATTGGGACGAAGGTTCTTCGCTTAAATAGACTTAATTACATAATTTCCTATGAGAAGCTAATTAAATCATAAATTTATAAACGTAATACATTTTTATATAACTTTACGTATGTTAAGCAGTCACGTAATTTTTTAATACAAAATTATTGACTATTATCACGATTTTCATAATCTTTTATGAGGATTCAGATAATCAAATAAATAGATAACTTGATTATTCGATACTTTAGATTCGAATGCTGTTACACAAAGCAAACATTCATGGCCGGTTTACTCTTGACCCTTTCAAACTGGCAATGATCCAAAGTCAAGATCTGGTCGAGTCCGCCTGCTATCAATTAAAGCGAACACGTGGTTAACGAAGTGTATCGTATGGATATTTGGCAGGAACGTGTCGAACCTTTGCCATTTCGCTTTGTCGAGCGTTACAACGCATCTTTCATCTTCCAATTCACGGTTGGAAGATTCGAATGATCCCACGAACTTTCCGAACGTTCAAGGTCTTCTTCTAAAGCTATTGTGATTTTTCATTTTCAAAATCCAAGCCCGAGGCCGTTGTAATCCGGATCACAATGATCTGCAACGAGATCATAATCATAAAAGGAGATAAAACGCGTTCGTGCAGAACACATCGAGAACGAGTTTTGTTCTCACCATTAATCGATCATATTCTATCTATTGTCTTTTTAGCTATTCATGGGAATTCGTAGTTTTTGCGAACTATCATCGTGTTTAAATTTTTCGTCGAAATAAATTTATTTACATTAAACTCAGAATAGGAGAAACGCGCGATGAAACGGACTACCAAAAAAATATAAATATATATAATTTATTTTCATTCTTCTTGTACATTATGATTTTTTTCCAAGAATGTTTCAGTTGCCACTTGTGAATAATATTTGCTCGAGCGAACAAATGATACGATGCAATTTTTTTTTATTACAGATTAGAGTGCCGTTAAAGGTAAATTTCTCCGCTAGACCGAGGGACGTGGTTGTGACGATCACAAAAAAGTACCTAAGCTGCGGACTGAAGGGTCATCCGCCAATTCTTGTCGGGGATTTGCCGCACGAGGTCAAACTCGAGGAATCTACTTGGGTAATCGAGGACGGGAAAGTGTTGCTGATTAATCTGGAAAAGGTGAGTCTCTCGTGGACGCGTATAATATATATGTATGTGGCCGAGTCCGCGCCCTCGTATTAGTAATATGCTTTTTCGCGACCTTCGCCGTTCTTTGGCCTTGCCGGAACCGTGTAATTCCGATAGTTCTAAGATCGTTCAATCACGGATATACATGTATATGTGGGGAGATACGTGCGTGATCGATCGGCAATAAATTCAACAAACTGTTTTCAGACATGCAAAATACAGTATTTAATTAAGATCTTATTAATATTCATGAATATCGCATTCGCAATCGTTCGTGATTATACTTGTCGCAACCTTTATCTAAAATTTTATTTCATGAAACCAAAAATATGATTAATTTGCGACATCACGATACATCAAAGCGATATATTAATTATCGATGATACAAATTATTAAGATGTCTTTAAAATTATTTAAATAAAAATAAAATATTATTAATGTGTTATAATAAATATAATATGGTAATATAATAGATTGTAGTATTTTTTCTAACTAGTAATGAAATCGACATTTCGTACGTAGGTGAATAAGATGCAGTGGTGGGCTCACGTAATAACGAGCGAACCGGAAATTAGCACAAAGAAAGTAAATCCCGAACCTAGTAAACTTTCTGACCTCGATGGAGAGACAAGAGGCCTCGTAGAGAAGATGATGTACGATCAGAGACAGAAGGAGTTAGGACTTCCAACATCCGATGAACAAAAGAAACAAGATGTTATCAAAAAGTAAGACAACATTTTATAAATATTTTCGTCGCTTATGGATATGCAATAGATTGTTTTATATGTTAATATTAAATTTAAAATAATTTGTTAAATTTTTACAGGTTTATGCAACAACATCCCGAGATGGATTTTTCTAAATGTAAATTTAATTAATTTAATTGGTTGAATTATATTGAAACGCTTAATAATACTCTAAGATTATACATTGGTACTACTAAGATTGTATTTTGCTTTTTATTATCACAATGTAATGTGCGATTCTCTGCGTTCATGGCTCTGTGTATGTTTAAGAGAATATGCGATTGTACACATGTTTTAGTTGCAGAAGATGGCACCACTATGTTAAACTACGTAAAGATACAGAATTCTACTATCGATTGAAATGTTCTTTGATTATTTTTTTATTTTCTGCGCCGTTTTTTTTTGTATTTTACTTATCTATAGCTTCCAAGAAAACACGGAAATGCATTGCACACTCAGAATATAAGTAATTTTTATATTACATTTCTCATCTACCGACTTCGTCGAATAGAAAGAAAATGGATTAGAATTGTACACGATGTAAGAAATAAATATTATGTAAACGTTTCTTTTTTTTCTGCATTTCTTAACAGTATTAATTATATTTAATGATATATAATTATTAATTAGATATTTGGTTTAAAGGTAAGTAACAGATAAATGAAGAAAATTGAAAATACATAATCAGTTGCATTAATTTCTGTAAAAATTATACTTAATTTCTTATATAAAAACATACAAATATATTTTTGCCGAAAATAAAATGTGTAAGAATAGAGTGCATAACTAGCTTTATATTTAATCTTTTTCAAGGTATTAGCACTTTTCGCCATATAATAGATTGAGATATAACTTAAAATTCATAATCTGATTTCCTTACCATATTTTTTATCTTCATCTTCATTCAATATTAATTATAAGTATTAATAATTAAGCGTAAAAATTAATTACAATTATAATATAAGCATATCTTCTAAGTATGTATTTATTCATTCGACTCTTTTATCACTTTTGTAATCCAACGTACGTAATTGGATAGTCTTGCATATATACCGAATTTACCGCGTTTGCCACAACCTTCACCGAAACTAGTGATACCAAATATTGTCCACGGACGATCGGGCTTTCGAGGATCCTTGCAAAGTAGAGGACCTCCGCTATCGCCCGCACAAGAATCCATTTTCCCGCGGCGATAACCGGCACAGAACATATTGTCCGTAATTCTATAATCTATGTAGACTTTTCGGCAGATTTCGGATGACACTATTGGAACCTAAAATCAAACGTTTATATTATGTTTAATGTAATTGCGATATTGTATTACATTATCAAATTTATTTATTTATTTATTTTCAAAATCAGACAAAATTGCGTACTCTGACTTCGTGGAGCACATCCGTTCCAAAATTATCAGTCACGCTGGACTTGCCCCAACCGATAATAGTACACAACTGGTTCGTGGGTAAAGGCTGCTTCGGTGCAGGTAGACAGGCGATGCCTCTCGAAGGAGACGGAGTCAAGACAACTGGTAAACGAAGAAGAGCCACGTCGTTATCAACAGTATCGGCGTCGTATTCTGGATGGATGATCACAGAGTCCACCTATGCGATAATAAAATTAATTGTAAGAAAGTAAACTTATCTCTATTGAGCTCTTTGATTGCGATTCATACCCTAAGCTCTAATTCCGTGCCTTCTTTCACCGTTAAATCGTGCTCTCCAATACGAACATACAAACGTTTCCTAATGCAATGCGCGGCAGTCAATACCCATCGCGGAGATACTAATGTTCCACCGCAGAAAGCTTCCTGCAAAAATGAAGGCAAATTAATATTAATTTCAATAACATAGTCTTTTATTCTAATAATTCATAGGTTTTTAGATTTTTTCTGTGGTTATTTTAATTTTAATTTTTTTCTACACAACTGTTGATTTAGCAAAGATGTAAGATTTATATCGTCGTTACATAACATACTCGAAATCGATTTAACACAGCCACTTGCCATGGCCAACTTCCAGGCGTAGTCGGGCGACCGCCGATGATTCGCATAAAGTATGATAATCTAGCGCTTTTATGAGAATTCGCCACTCCACATTTCCAAGTATTTGAATTTTTCTCCGGAGCGAAACTATCCACGGTGTTAGGATTAAGTTCGAATTCGTCTAATATCAAGTCTAAAAAACCAAAGAAGATCAAAGATATTACGTACTTTCTTATCATCTTATCAATATTAATTATTGAGTGTATAAGTTATTTACTTTCGCCATCTTCTTCGTGGATACCACGAATCTTTCGATGGATCCATCTTTGGCAAAAGCTACCTTCGACGTAACAATAGGCGCTCTCTCGTATCACATCGCGTCCGCAGATGCCAGGCTTTCTGCACCATCTAATCAGAATTGAATGAATTTATTCTTTATTATTTATTTTTTATAATTTAATTTATTTTTTATTTTCTTAGAATTAATTTTGTATTCATTAATAGTTACATTGATTAGTTGCATCAATATGGAAATTTTATAGAGTATACCTGTGACGTTGCGTAGTGCACAGCCTCGTGCAAGGTGACCATTTGCTCCATTTCCCGTAATGTCCTCCAGAGTGTTCTTTAATATCCTTGCCTTTTCGCTTTCCATGCCTAGGCTCCGCTTCTTTAGGTACCTGCCGAGAACGCGATTCATATCCTTATATATAATTAATCTAAATTAATAAGAGCGCATCTCTTGAGACTCACCTGGACCACGTGAAATTTTTTGTCTTTTCGTCTGTGTCTTCGCTGGTGTTGCTTGCATCGCCTTCGACGACCTGCTTTATTATGTTCACAACCGCGTTCTTCCTATTATATCATGATACATCATTAGTATTTATTTTTTATTACATAATAATACGATAAATGGCAAAATATTTTTCCATAATTATGTGTAAATAATTTTCTTTCTTCATGTGTTGTTGCAAATTCAATTCTTCGATCTTTAATCGAAAATTTTACTCTCACGAGATACCATAAATATTTTCATATATTTACCCTAAGTACAGTTGATCCGCAATCTTGTTTCGATCGACACCTCCTGACGCGATTTTGTGTACAATGCCGATCGCAGACCGACCATTCACTCCAACTCGTGAAATGCGACAGCTTTGTCGATTCTGTAAAGTTAAATCAAAGATATTGTAGCTTTTTTTTAATTAAGAAGAGTAAATATAAAAAATTAAGACGTCAACGTGCACACATATACTCACTGTTATTCTTTGGTAAATATTCTACAGCAGACGGCTGATTGATTGAATGGAGATAATCTACATCGTCCTTAATTCCAAAGACTGATGTCTTATTTTCATTCTACAAACAATATTTTTCAAACATTAACAATAAAATTACAAATTTTTTGATTATTAAATCCAAATAATATTTTTATATTATTAAATCTATATAATTTTTTATAGATTTTATTTCGAATTGGTATTACTTTTACAATTTATTTTAATTTAATCAATTTATTATAATTATTTAATCAATAATATTATATATAATTGTGTGACATCACATTTATTGAATTTTATAACTCTGTTAGAGACATATACACATTTATATAATAGATTAATTCGTTAATTAGCTGCACCAACATCACTTTGACAAACGGCTTAATCTCAAAGAAAATTTCATATCGCAATATCCGGCACTCCTATGTCGGCAATGGCTATATGCTGATACAATTACCTTAAAATACTCTGAAATTGTCTGTCTTAGACTGATAGACTTAATAGATACGACCTGGACAGCACTCAGCTGGTTCTAATATCGTCCAGTATTCCAAGGCTGTAAAACGCCCAAGTCGCGACATTAAACTCAATTTGTCTGCTGGTAATGATATCGCGACGTAACCGTTGTCGCCGTTAATCATGCGTTACGCGATGTCACCGTAGTTGACGGAGTACGTAGGTATATAAAATTACTGTCATTTCATCGTCCCGCCTTGTCGAAGCTCTCTTCGAAATGTTTGCCCTCCCTGAAACTCTGCAATAGTTCGGACTCGTGATGATTCATTATAATTCATCATTCATTCAGGATTCAGCTATGATTAAAATGATGTTTGCAGCGTCCTTTTAACAGCCTACATGATATGATATTTGTGCGATGGTATGAATAATTCAAAATTCGATTACTTAATCGAGGATGATTATTTCGGAGAAATCTCTCGAATTTATAATGGAACGAAAATGAAATATCTCTTTTATATGTATATATTTTATTACCCAACTTAAAATTTAAATAACTGTTAATTGTTACAAAATAATACTTGCTATCGATGTTTTTGGAAAGAGAAAAATATGTTTAACATAATAAATCTATAGAATAAGGAATAACTAACCAGATTTATTACTGATAGATATCAAAAATATTTAATTAGCATAATAAAGCGATATTTCGATATGAAAATAAATGTCAAAAATAGCATATATTTGTGAAAATAATATAATATATCGTCTCATAATTACTTAGAATTGCCTAATAATTTAATATTAAATTATATAATTTAATACTACATTACTTATCGAAAGGAACACACGATAGAAAAAGCGCTAAATGAAGAAGCGAACGACGCGGAAAGAACAACGATGGAGTGAGCGAAATTTATATGCGATGGAGTTAGCGTGTCCAAACTAGGCTGAGATGTGCGGTACCTTGCATCTCAGTGACGATCTCGCAAAAAGTTCATGCCGCTAAAAGGAAAGACAATTCCGAAGGGTGAAGTCGAAGAGCATGTTGCCTGTTGTCGACTTCGCCATCTAAAAATCTTTACAAAGTCTAACGCAAGAACGTACAAAGAATGTCGAGGAATCTTTGTCGAAAAAATCTAAAAAGAATAGACTTCGCTAAATAATTTATATAAATTTTAATTTATCACAAACGAACACTTCGATTTTTTCCGTGATCTCTTGATGCTTATCGTAATTTAGTGACAAACGAATTTTATCCTTTAATTCGCGAAAGGAGTTAAGATAATCTCTCTAATACATCTATACATCTATTTATTATCTCTATTTCTCACTTAATCTTCGAATCCACAAAAAAATTTGCTTTAAATTTATTTAAATCTAAATTAAATTTATTTCATCTATCTCGATTCAAGATCTTCAATATATTTAATTAATAACGAAAATATATAAAAATCAAGAACGGGGAATGTCGCGGGGTAAATTAATAAATGCAAACTATGCAGTTAAAACTGTTGGAGCGTATTTGAGATACGGCACACGTAATTCGAAATTACCATTTGACCCAATCTGGATCATGAATGCATCACGAAGAAACATGATCCAGAGGTCGAATGGTGGATAAAGAAAAGTTCGAAAGCCACTTCTCGAGCTAACGCCTCAGCTATACCCTAGATGGTATCATGGCTGGTCTCTGCCCATCGTGCCTACGCATATTTTAATATTACAAGATCGACGCATTGATACCATGACATATGCTTTCATCGACATACATTAGCCTCGCGTATTGTACTTCCCTCAATTTTTTTAGATTAAACGATCTTTGGTAAATTTTTTCTTGCTCTGCAATTTCCTGAAAGCAATTTATATTTTTGTGCAATTTGAGCTTTAATTTATTCTTTCTTAACGATTTAAAGCATTGCATCGAAAAACTATCTATAGCTTGAAAATTATACAGTTATTATTACAGTAATAATTAATTTCTAAAGCTGGGATCATTCTAGCTGCATGAACAAAAATTTTCACACGTAATTCCATATAAATAAAAAACGAGAAGAGAAGTCTCTAAAAGATTTGTTTTGCAAATTGACACCCTCGCCCCTAGATGGTAACGTCGAAGTTTGTTCAACATCCAAAAATGGCAGACGGCTTTTTTGACGAAGGGTTGTTACGGAGATTTAATGTGAGATCTCATAGCCCTGTTTGTCAATGGAATGCTCGCTATGGCAAGTTCGTGATCTGCGATTTATTCGTTCTCGTAACATACGATTGAAAGACCGTTTTTGCGATATATTTATTGATATATCTAAAATCTAATTGATAATTCTATTCGAAAAATTTGGCAAAAGAAAAATTAAAGAAATAGGTATATAATAACATAGTGTAATATTATACATGAAGAACGCGCACGTTTCTAATGATGGCAAATTAGAATTTCATTGCCGTGTAATCACGATGTAATTTGAATATAGCGTGTGTGATTATATGTGCAATGTAACGCATTCGTTCATTTATTCAAGAGAAATTACGGCTGCGTCACATCTTTAGCGCAACTGGGATATTTGATTCAAGCTTATCGACTTATAGAGAGACATAATTACATGAGTACAACACTTGCACATGTAACAGAATAATCATTACGACATTGTCACGATTGCTGCATGCCCGAGTATAAAATTAGACTTGTAACATTCATGGGACCACAATTTACAATCGCGTCAGCGTTTATTTTCTCCTGCCAACAATCGATTAAAGTAATGGACAGCGTCATAAAGTACAATAATATGCCGTACAGTTGCATTGACAGCTGTTAGGAACAATTCATACGCTTTTGAACGCGGCCCGTTTGGCAACAACATACGACTTTATTTCTTTTTCTCTTTTTTGCGCCATTTCTTATACTTTATGTAAGCGGTTCGATGCCTTTCAAGCCAAAATTTACGAGAACTCATAAATACTGTTCCGCTTTTAATTAGATTTTTAATAGCGGTAATAAACACGCGGCCCGTCTTGAAAAAAAGTCTATATCTCACGAACATTGTCCATGACGAAAGTAACTTCCTTATATTTTTACAAGTGTAAATTGTTTCGCGATGTGTTCAAGACATAAGCTGCTAAACTATTTTCATTGTAGTTTGCACTTTATTTCTTCTGACCCATTTGCGGTATATAATATGCATCACGCATTACATAATTTCTTAAATCGTCTTGCTGACGGGCGAGAATATGCAGAATTTATTGCTAACCGCAGCAACAGTTTTACCTGCTTATTACGTCTCTCTCAAAAAGTTCTATAGACATAGCTTATTATCTCTTAATGCTGCGGAAAGATTATTGTGTATGATTTACAGTTTCTATTGTTTAATATATAATTTAACGTAATAGAATAATTTTTTACTTATAACAAGTGGAATAGTGTGTGTGTGTAAACCTGGCACATCTAAATTCGTGAAAATTTATAAATAATTAATCTTTATTTTTCAAGCTAGAGTTCTTGATAGTTTAAACAAATAGTCATGATCATCAAAGCAACGAAAATGCTTTAGGATAAACTGAGAAATTCACGAAAAATATATAATTCTATATGAATTTTAAAGAGAGTTCTGTCTTCTAAAAAAAAAAATTAAGCTAAAATAAAGACAACCAAAGAATACTAAATATACATATTTTATTTAATTAATTATTTTAATTTTATTCTAAATATTGTATATATTCTAAATATAAATAAATAAATAAAACTAAAGCCATATCTCTTTTTAAAACAACTCTCTTTCAAATTTCAATTTAGCGCACGCGATAAATCGAAATTTGCGCGCTATTAGAGTGAAGTTGCCGCTGTTTACAGAGTCGCGAATAGCTTCGGTTCGGTCATTACCGAAACGCCGCGAGTACCAGACAGTTCAAGCTGCGTCCCGCTGTGATTTATTAGTAAGCACAATTGTTTCTAACCTTTGTATTGTGATATTTATCAATCGCATACCATAATTTCAATATTCATACATAGCCGTAATTGTTTGAAACGTATATTTCGCCAGAAATTCGTTGCAAAATCTTTGCCAGGAGTCAACGTAATCCAACCTAATTCGATCTGTTTTTGCGCGCGCAAATATGTTGCGACTCATAAATATATCCATACTTAATTCTCGCTTGTATATTTATATTATTTATATGTATATTATATATCATATATGTTATAATGCAAAAAGTAATAGATTGCTCTAATATATGTATGTATATTTGATTTGTTATCACAGGTGGCATTATTGATGAGCTGAGTTTGCAAGATTCTCGAGTGCCAAATGAATCGTTCCGCTTCGTGTAATTATATATAGTTTTCGCATCGTTTTTTCTCATTGTGCAATGTACGCGAAAAACGCGTGTGATTCACGCGTCGTGTCGGGAGTGCCGTGTAAAGTTTCGCGCGTCGGAAGCGTCGTGTAAAGTGTCGGGCGATCGTAATTATTTGTGTTTTCGCGAGTGTCGTGAGTGCTACGAGGGACTAACAGAGGAGGAAGCCAGGACAACTGTAAAGTATGCAAAATAAATATAATTTTCATTTTAATTAATTTACTACTGGTAAAATTATTTGATTTATCTCTTGATTTATTTATGGAATTTATATTT